GTCCTTAATCGACACAGACGGAATCACATGAGTCAACCTACACATAGACTCTGTCCGGCCTCGATTTACTTTTACCCCATGGTTCTTTTCCACGATAGCAAATATAGCCAACCGTGCTTCGGTATCCACCTATATCTCGCAGGTGACAGGAAATCACCTGACTTCTACCGGTCTAAGCATGGCTAAGCATATATTCGATTCTGGACCTATACCGGTTAAAGGTGTAATATCTGGACAAGGAATGTATATGCATCAAGTGGTTCCATTCAACTCTTATAACCTAATGCATCAATCATAAGTACTTAAGTAATCATTTGTAAAATACTGGGAGACTTAGAATGCTCCGGGGCTTGCCTGGGATCCGACACAAGTCAGTTCAGTTAGCTTGCACCGACTTGGTGACATCTCCGGTCCTAGCACTTGCTTAGTCCTTCCATCTTCGGGATAGATCCACCAAACACCGTCTTCGGGTTTAACTTCACATCACATCCTTCACGTGGTTCATCTAGCGTACCTAAATGAGATGCAAGATGCATGTGTATGAATACATGGAAGTGCAATAGATAATACATCGCATGCAGTAAGTAAGACAAGCACAAGGTTACGTTAACATGCACAAGCACTTCGCATTGCTTACTTTAAATATCACACAATTTATCATGCCACGATAGCAAAGAAGACGACAACACCAAGCATGACACAAGTTTCCCAAGATTTCAGGTACTCTGACTCAACCATCATCAAAGGTATGAGCCACACTTAGCAATATACAAGCAAACAACTATAATTGGAATCTGTCAATTTCTGGACATGCAAACAGCAGCTACAAGATTTAGCTATAACTAGAGTTACACAAATCCAAATGACTTGCAAGAAGACATTCTGGAAAGCTTATGAAATTTTTGACAATTCATATTTAATCATCTTAGCATGATTCTCAAGTTAACTAAGTCAAATATACCCATTTATAGAAACTGGTCTAAACAAAACAGAGAGCAGCCATTTCTAAAACCCAACTTTAAACAGGAATAACTCACAAACCACAAGGCCAAATACCACCAAATTTTAACAGGAGCTAGATACATGAATTATCTACAACTTTGTTATTATCACCAAAAACTCATTCAAATCCTAACTAGATCAAACACTAGCATCTTTCAGATCTGCTCAGAATAAAATCAAAACCTGATAGAAGACTTAAAAGTCATGTAACTCCTACACTATCTGGCCTATGACCTTACAATTTGAACTCAAGCAAGATCATGAAATTTGCTACAACTTTTGTATTCACTACAACCATAGCAAACATCATTTACACCACGAAAATAATTGCACAAGCAAAACTGCAAATCCAGTCCAACAGCAGTGGTATAGAAAACTGATAGCATCTTCAGAGAAGCATAACTGGAGTTCTAGACCTCCAACAAACATGAACCATAACTTTTTGAAAAGCTTAGGAAGTTACCTACAACTTTCTTATTCTCATATTAAGATGATTCTACAGTTATAAGGGTCAATTAATCCAATAATTGCATCTCTGTCCAAGACATAGACAGAAACTGACATGCCACTTTAAACAGCTATAGATGGAGTTATACATGTCCAATAAATGTGGTTCTAGACTATTTAGAAAGCTTAGCAAATTCTAAACAACTTTGTTGTAAACACCTAAAGCTAATTCTACTACTAAGAAGGATCCACAGTAAGAACAAGGAAACCCTGTCTGGGTTTGGGCAGAAACAGCCACTGAGATTCAAGCAAGTATAACTCAAGATCTACTTAGCCAAAAATCATGATATTTAACTTTTTGAAAATCTTAAGAAAAGTACTAAAACTCATGTATTGTTATCAAATCATGATTCATAACTTAACTGAGCCAATTAATTCAAACATGCAGAACTGTTCAGAATAGGAGCAAATCAAAACAGGGCATTTGTTATTTTTATAACTCTTAAACTATAAATCCTAAACTTATGAAATTTTTACCAGACAACAACAATCACCTTAGTAGCACTTCACAAAAATTTCACATTTATTTGAGCACATCAACTGCAGTTATAAAAAAACAAGTAAGACTAGCATTCAAACCCTGACTGCACAAATCCATTTTTACAGCTAAAACTTTAAACTAAAACCTGACATATTATAGATCTAGTGCATAGAGAATTTCACAAGGATTCCAAAAAGTGCTCATTTACTATTTTACGAATTTTCTACGATTTACTATGAATTTCCAAAGTTTCACCCGATTTACAACAAATAGGTCCCTCGAGGCACTATTCACTTGAGTCAATGACATTGCATTTAGGCCCTTCCCTTTAGTCGAATTTGAGGACGAAGTCCCTAACGCGAATTTTTGAAGGGCTGCACAGGAGCTCGCCGTTTGCCGGCCGGAGGAGGCTCGTCGGCGGTGGGGGAAGTGGCGGTGGAGCACGAGCAGGGCCGCGCGCACTCGACGGTGGCCTCGGCTCGGCCCGAGGTGGAGCATGGAGCCCCAGCCACGTGCGCCGGCGGCCTAGGCCGAGCCGCACCGTGGTGAGGGCGCGCCGGTGACGAGCGGCTTCAGGCGAGGGGTGCGAGGGTTGCGGCGCGAGGTGAGGGAGGTGGTGGTGCGGTCAATTTGGGTGGAGGGAGGTTGGAGACGCAGGAACGACGTCGGCCATGGAGATAGCATGACCGACCATGGCGGCGACGGTCGCGCCCGCAAGCAGCAGCAGCACACGAGGGAAAAAGAAAGGGAGGGCCAGAGCGAGTGAAGGGAAACGCGCTCGGCTCTCCGCATCGACGCAGGGGCGCAAGGACGCGCGGCAGCAAGGTGAGGTGCTCAGCTCGGGCATGGCGGACACGTCCAGGACACGCGTCGCCGTTCGGGCAAATCCTCGAGCACGTGGCGGGCGACGAACGGGACATGGTGGGCGGCACTTTTGGGCTGGATCCGGGCCGAATCAGGACATGGGCCGAATACGAAGATTGAAGCCCGCACGAAGCTCTACGTTTTCTATGAAGGGTGCCAAGTCATTTGATTTGTAGATCAGCGGTTAATCAAGTCCAAAGTTGACACTGTCAACGTGTTGACTGCGGTTAAGTAAACGCAAAAATTGATCATCCAACCAAAGTCAAACTGGTGCTATCTTTTTGCACGCTCTTCTCCACAACGTATACTCCAACTTTTATCTTTGGACCAAATCGAGTTGCTTAACGAATTTCGGAGAACGCGAGATGCCAATGCCGATGTCGATGAAGTCCTAGACTTAGAATTCTAAGTGCTGAAATCAGTAGCAGGTTCCAACTTTGAGCCACTGCTATACTTGGTTCCGAGCCGATCCATGGTGTACTCCAAAAACAAAGTTTGTTGTACGCGAACCAAGCAACAACTTTCATTAAAGGTTCTTAGACTGGTTTGGCCTGATTAGGAAGACACAAAGCTCCAAACTAGGGTACCCGAACAAAAACGTCAGTTAGGACTTAGACAAAATCTTGGGCTCCAAATCAGCACTTTATTGAATCTTGTGAGCTCTGTTTGACTAGGTTATGGACCAAACTAGCTCTTGGTCCAAAAACAAAGTTTGTTCTACATGATATGGACTACAACTTTAATTTAAGGTCCAACCTCAAAACTAGTATATAACCTACTGTTCTACTTTGACCAAAGTAGGATCACGATGGAGCTTAAATTATCCTTTTTGATCCGTTGGAGCGTTTTCTTGGCATTTGCCCAACATGAACCTTTCATGACTTTTGTTGTAGAGTTCATCTAGAATCATTTTGGCAAGGTTGCAAGGTTTGGTTGACATCTCATGTTCTCATTCACTTAATAGTGCAATTCAAGCACTTAGTAAAATCATTCCAACAAGGATATAACTTATCATTTCATGTGACTTTTTGATTCCAAACGTCATGAAACTTTTCGAGTGTCCAATATAGATGGGTATTGATGTGAGACATATGAAGATATCCCAATCACACCACCCAAGCATATATCTTGAAAAGGGATCTATAGGCGAGCAAAGGTGCAATATCCAAGTTTAGGTTGGGGCTCGTTTCTATAGGTTTGACCTTGACATCTTCATCATCACTTAATATACCATGTTTTAGCTCAAACCCATTGCTTAACTGGTGGCAAACACCTGGGGTGTTACAATACCCAATTTTTTTGGCAAGAAAATTTATAGATACAGTGTTTACGTGTATATGTATTGGAAAGAAGTGACGACGGCCGGCGCGGGGCTGCCGGGTCTGCTGCCGACCACTCAAGCATGAAGCAGCGTTGTTGACTGCGTGGGGCTGGGGGCCAGGGCATCCGGCGCTACTGCCTGCTAGCAACTGCGGCCGCACGCGGGGCTGCAACCGAGCTATCGAGCAGCGGTGACAGGGACTCCGGGAGCAGCCAAGCAACGTGCACAGCAGTAGCTCACGCTCAATTGCTGAGTTTATCCTTATCAAAAAAAAATTTTGCTGAGTTTAACTGTATAAGTTTTCTTATTCCTCTATATGACTATATATTTAATATTTTGTCGCTTTGCTATGTTGAACTATTGATATTAAAATAATTTTAAATTATGCTTAAATTCTAAAAATATATGAAAACTTGCTTTACCTATACAGTATCCTCACAAAAAAATTGCATATATGATATTATCAATTGTGATGCTAAATATTAAGCTTTGGTTGTAAAAAAAAATAACATCCTTTTATATTTTGAATACCCCGCCTCAAAATCCTAAGCCCGATGCGTGCAGTTTTATATTAGGGCTGTGACAGTTGTTTTCAACAATTATTATTATGACCATGTTCACTTGATAGTATCAGTCATACTTATCAGTTATGATATAGTATTTTTTTCTCACAATAAAACAATGTCGGCCAGTTTACAAGCCACAGAAACGATCATGGTGATACACTTCACTTACAGTGGTCCTCAACCTGCTTTGTGGTGGAGGATGGATCTGCTTTTACAGGCACACTTCACTTACAGCAGGCCAGCAGCTGGCAGCCCCTAGCTAGAGCTTTGCATGAAGCAATCCCTCGAGCTTTGCACAAAACAATCGCTCGAACTCCTTCATGTTTGCAGCCTCCAAGCATACGAGAACACGGACGCCGCTATCTGCCTCCGGCCCACTCCTGGTGAGGTGCACGTACCCACCGCGGACGGACCCTGCACGAGAGACCCTCCGTGGCTTCCCCCACCCGAAATCCGCGTCGTAGATGGGCATGCCAAGCCAGCTCACCACCCGCAGCTCCGTCTCTGCCATGGTGTCCCCCTGCAGCCGGTAGCCACTCTCGCTCTCTAGCGACAGCAGCTCGTGGTAGTAGTCGATCGCGGACCGCACCAGCTCGTCGTCCAGCCGGTTCCTCGCGGCCTGGATGCGGCCGGCCACATGTTCCAACGGCTCCGTGGAAATATCACGGGCCGCACCAGCGGCGCACAGCGTAATGATGCCGTTGCCGAGGTAGCGGTCCGGGAGGGGAGGCCTCATGGCGCGGCGGCGGCGGATGTCTGCTGAGAAGGAGACGCGTGCCTCGACGTCCGGCGGCAGGCGCCGTGCGGCACAGGCGCACTGCCACACGAGGGCGCCGACGGCGCAGAACGCGCTCGCGCCGCCGCAGATGCGCTTGAGCGAGGCGAGCTGGTCGTTGGAGATGACGAAGACACCGGCGGTGGTGGCTGCTCCAGGTTCCGAGCTGCTGCTGCTTGTCATCTTGGGGCGGTACAGTACTGATAATGCATCAGGGTGGACGACAGGAGGGGACCTCGCGCGGAGGAGAGTGCGCTGGTGGCAGGGGAGCTCCACGGCGGCGCCATCGCCGTCCCTGGAGAAGGCCGACCACGTTTGCATGAAATGGAAATCGCTCATGGCATCCACGGCCACATGGTGGAAGGCAGTCCCTAAAACCACCCCTCCACACTTCATAAAAGTCACCTGGACGCAGCAGCAGCAGCAGCAGCATCAAATTGAATTGAATCGAATCGAATCGAAATTATACATGCCCTGTGTGTGAAGCGAATTACCTGAACGGCTAATATGATGGACGAAGGCTCAATGCGAGGAACAAACAGCCTCCGCAGCTCTGGCGACGGTTTCAAGTCGTCCAAATCATCAAGCCTAAGTTGAGAGCGAGCGACCACAAAGAGGGCCCCCTCGCTGTTGCAGTCGATCTGTGTCCGGCCATCGCCGGCGACGCCGACGCGGCCAGCGAGGGGGTAGAAGGCCACCAAAGCCTTGGCCATAGCCTCCTTGAGCCTGCTCGGATCAAAGAAGTTGTCGGCGCCGTCGCTGTCGCCGGTGGAGCTGCGAGGCCTCGGATCAAAGAAATATACTAGCGGCGGGTGGCCTCTGTTTGCACGCTCGAGGTCCAGGGGAGAGACCCACAGGCCCTTCCTCGGAGTCTCCATGCTCGGCGCTACAAAAGATGATTCTACCACTTGCATCTCGGAACCCATTGATTTTTTTTTAACTCCGTCACGGGCATGCGACATGGTGTATATATACAGAAAGCGCTGGTGGATGTAGCTACGAAGGGAGAGGGGTAGTACGTCACATTATCGAGGGCATCTCCGTCAAAGCAGCGGCGGACCCAGGATTTCAAAGTTAGATATGCCCAAGCAAAGACCAATGGGGATTTGAGATTTTACCTTTAAATTGATCAAGGAAGAAATCGATTCATGAATTTGAGATCTACCTAGGTTTCTACCTTCTAGTTGTCTTGTGGGTGTGTGCCTTCCTAGCTGATCACCATGTGGGCAGTGTGTGCTTGCCGACAGATGAGGCTGGGCCGCGAGGTGGTGTTGTGCTGAATGGACAGCCGAACGCCTATGTGGGCCGCTGGATCCGCCCCTAGGGCAATAGTTTCCTAAACCATAAGAGAGTTCCTAAACCATAAGAGAGCAACAAAATTCTAGAATTGATTAAGATCTACAATTTTTATTTTAGTCATTTCTTCATTTGAGTAAGTGATGGGGTAAAATTGCTCACAAATTTACATTTAAAATGAGATAAATTTGTGAACAATGTATACTATCACTTTGTTGGATGAATAAATGACCTAAATAAAAATTGTAGATCTTGATGAGTTCTACAATTTTGTTATTGATGATTTTTCCAGCTGAAATCATTTACTGGTTCAAAATGTTGTTTGAAGTAGTCATTTTTTAAATTCAAATGTTAAATTATTCAAACAAAATCACATGAAAAGATGACCAAAATGAAAGTTGTAGATCTCGAAAAGTTATAGAAGTTTATAGTTGACAACTTTTTCATTTGAGATCATCTTGTCAAGAAAAACTATGCTTTAATTTCTCAAATTTGAAATTTGAATTTTTCATACGACCTCGGATGGAGAAACTACCAAAATAAAGGTTGTAGATCTCGAAAAATTATACAAATTTGTAGTTGATAACTTTTTTATTTAAATTCGTTTAGGACCTCAAACAATTAATTTAAACTCGGTTTAAGATAATATGTGAGGAAAAAAAATCTATAATAGACACAGATGAGTATGAAGTGCAGTAGTTGGAGGAATACCGCGCGAGGGAGAGGTCATGGGTTCGAATCCCGTCGGCCACGAAGCACACGATTTTTGTGCGAAAAATACTGCTGAGCAGGCGGGTGGCTAACTGGTGGAGCCTCCCTTACAAATATGAACCGCCCCTACGGCATTTCAAGCAACGGTTTCCGTAGGGACCGCTATAAATAGTCTGGAGCACCCTCTACAAGTGATGGGTGTAGTAGTGTCACCAAAATTCTTAAGAGCAAGTGCTATAAATGGTCTAGAGCCGCCTTTATACAGTCTGTTCGGTTGGCTGGTTCGTATTGTTGCTGATTTGTTTATGTGAGAGAGAATTACTACTGACTGATTCATGTGAACAGTGTCCATGTGAGGGGGCTGGCCAGCCCAGCCAGCCCCAGCCGAACATGGCGATGAGTGATGGGTATAGTAGTGTCACCAAAAGTGTGTAAGAGCAAGTATAGTGAGGGACTGTCACTACTACAGAAGTTAACTGTAGGGGCGGCTCTAGAGCCTCTCAGAGGCGGCAGCTGCATGCCCATCCTTTCATGCAGGTGTTCCTCAGAGAGGTGTCTCTCAGTAGAGACGGTTTCTGACCGCCCTGCAGTGCCCTCTGTAGGGGTGGTGGTGTTTTCAGCCCTCCCTCTGGTTCCCTCAGATGGGTGGTCAGTAATATCGGTCACTCGCCCAGAGTGGACTTCTATAAAGGCGGCTGTATCACCAGGCACACTTGCTGTGTGTATTTGTAAGGGCGGTTCAATCAAGAACCGCCCCTACAGTGGATTTTTCAGCAAAAAAAAAATAATTCAAATCTAACCACATCTGCAGACTTGTAAACAGAGAAAACAGAGCTGTCCCTTGAAACAACCAATGGATCTCTAGAATGGAACTAACTAATCAATAAGATAAATCCCAGAACAATGCAGAGTCAGCTGGCAATATGGCAGCAATGGAGGTATTCAGAACATTGATAATATCATTATTCAGGTGCATAGAAGAATATCCACCATTAGTTTGAAGAGGAAAAAAAATCCATTCAGCATAGAAGCCTAGGTATGGTACAGCACGAATAAGAAACAGTGAGGGTCAATATAAATGGTCTTGTTGCAACATAAAATTTCATCCAAGAGAAAAGCTCAAGTGATGTCACGGATTGAAGCTGATCATTGTGAGAAGAAGCTCGCAGGTAGACGCCAGGAGATACCAAAAAAATATTGACAAATGGAATTATGCACTATGTATATATGATGCATTAAGCCACATGCTGAGGATGTCTTCACCTGAGAATGCCTTCAGCTCATTATGCTGAAACTGATCTTGCATGGTTGCTGAGGTCCTGCAAGAAGGAAAAAAGGAAAAGTGGCCTGCTATGATTATGGAGTGCATAGATAAGAGAGAGGTCAGAATAACAGTTGAAAGGCAGGAAAGTCCAATCTAAAAAATGAACACCAACCTGAGTTGTGTAAAAAAGGCTACAACGATGAAACACTTGTCCTGTCTGAGAATCCAAAAGGACCCTGCAAGAGGGAAGGAGAAAAAACAGATTAACAAATCAGGAAACTTGTATTGGAACAGGCATATAGGTCAGATTACTAAGAAAGTAAAATGCATGTATTGGTAGATGCAAAGAACAATAGGCACTTCCTTCTTCCAGTCCCCTAAAAAAATTGGCTCCTATTGAATCCCAGTCCTTAACCGATGACACAATGTAATTCAATGCACTTCTTCTGAAACAAAAGAGTGAATCCGAATCCTGAAAGGAACCTATAATGTAGAAGTGAAATATGTCAGTTTGCTTTAGTTTGCCTGGGGGACCAAGATGGAAGGATCAGGCATCGCAATAGCTAAAAAAGCAACGCAAGCTTGTAGTATTGGATGGGCACATAAACAATCGTAATAATGTAAGCCTGGCAGGGGGAGCACTGCATTGAGCCTGAGAAACAGAACACAGTACAAAGGAAAGAACTGAATAAAATTACCAAAAAAATGATATAGTATAAGAGTTAGAACCTGCACAAAATAAGTTGAGCTTGAAATATGTAAAAGTAAAAAAATATACTAAAGAAAGGCCTTGCTATAATAATCGAGAAAGGAGGCAGCTACCTGGTTAAGGTAGTCCATCTGTTAGGAAAAGTGGGTTTAGATGCAGAGAACAAACCTAGATCATTTGCAGCTGTGTGATATATCTCAGCACTGATTTTAGCAAGTGGAAGGCGAAAATAGATGGAAAAAATAAAAGAGACTGACATATCTAAGTAAGCTTCATCTCTGCCAGCTATATTTTACAGTTCTAACTAAATCGGAATTAGCTGTCGTGGTCATATAACCTGAGGACACATAGTATATCATTAACCATTATAGTAAAGAAACATGTTACATAGATCACCTAGTCTAACGAAAAGATAATGAAAAAAAGAGGTTATTTAAAAAGAGGTTTTAAATAATCAATTCGCAAAAATTGATTGATTATTTAAAAATTCAAGACTCAAACTTCATAAATTTGAAACCAATGATTGTTTAGAAGGAAAAAAAGAGTCAATTTACATATTTACTTTTGCTAACTCATTTTGTTTTTTATATTGTACCTGTGTACTGATTTATTGTGGTCCCCTATACTTTAGAAGGAAGCATGCTAATATGGGTTCATAGGCTATTTTTAATCTCGGATGAGCACTTTCTTAAGAGATTGCTATTTGATAAGGTGTTCTAAATATATAGTGTCTTATAGGTATGCATACTTAGTACTTGCACAGTACCCCCATGCACCAACACCAATCCCTTATCCACCTCCGGTAACAAATCTAGCAAACTAAACACTTTATGAAGCACAAATAGAGTAGGGGAAGTGCCATAACCATCCATACCTGGTGGTTGGGTTCCTGTGCAGTGCAGGTGCCGCCGCAGCCGCCGCGGAACCCCGGGTGGAGGGGTGACATACTGCTAGAGCCGGCCGCCGAGCTGAGCCGCCGCCGGAGAGAAAGACGTCATGCGCAGCCGGGGTCATGGAGCACAGGCACCTAGGGTTTCGTCGAGGAGAGGAGGAGATGGGGAACGGTCGGAGGAGGTCGCGCCGGGAGGCATCCGGGACGGCGGCAAATGCTGGGGCCCGCTCTCGCCGCAGATGAGCGACTGGGACGTCCAAAGACTGGGTGACACGCTGCAGCAATGGCAGTGCAGAGCCTGGGCGCCGTCAGCGCCTTCAGCGCCTTTTTGCGATGTAGCGGCGGCGCTGGGCCCTGGCTGCACGGCGCCACGTCTAGAGAGATAGGGAGAGGGAGAGGGAGAGGGAGAGGAAGGCAACGCAGGGGCGGAGGCGGCGGCGGCGGCGTTTCTGCGTGAGGAGAAGCGTCGAGTTCAGGAGAGGAGGAGACGACATACTTTGAGAAGAATCAGGAAGGAGAAGCTGAAGCTGGGTATATATTTGCTTCACTGGATTAGGACGCAAAGCCGGAGGAAGCAGAGAGAAGGAGAGGAGAAGCTATAGAGAAGAAGGATAATCGAGGAGAATCTGATTCTAGCAGAATCCGGAAAACCCAATCCCAGACACTCGTTGCGAGGATCGGACGGAGAGAACAGAATCCGGATACCTCAGAGGCACTGTAGGGGCGGCTGAGGTTATAAGCCGCCCCTACAATTGATTTTTTTTTTCAAAATTCTAAATCAAAATGAATTATTCACATGTAAATAATAAATAATACAATACAAAATTTTATAATTATTTTTTTATACATATATTTATATATACAATAACTAAAACAACTACAACAGTTTAAAATTGCAAAATTGAACCTTTAAAAATGAGAAAAAAAAATTAAATTTTAAAACATTAAAATAAAAAATACTAAAATAATTTTAAGACACCAAATGATCTCAAATGAAAATTTGATA